ACTCCAACGTCATTCGTTTCATCAGCAAAGCTACGAGCCTGAGTAGCATAGCCAGGACCACTCACGAACGCACCCGATTCGATCCGTTCTCTTAAGAACCGAACTTGCTCGAGCTCCGAATTGAGACGCTTCTTCAGCTCCTTGAGCTGACTCGCGTTGTACCCATCAAGAGCAAAGGTTACGTAGTCTCCATAAGCTAACGAATCATCAAACTGCTTGCTCGAATTGTTCCCGTAACCCGAGATTAGATTAGGGTTAGGGTTGCAAAGAGGATTGGTGAAATCATCGGAGAGGGGTTGATTAGTGTATTTCCTCATAAAAACGGCGCCACATTTTCCCTGAAACGACGGTTCGATTAGGTTAGCCAAAACCGCCGGAGCCATACGAGAATCGAAGGGCACAAGATCATTTCAGGGGGGGGGGGATTCTCTTAATCTCTCCGCCGGAATCAGATCAGAGTTCCGATCCTTCCAGAAATTTAAAAACGGAGAAGTGAGAAATTTAACGTCACCGGAAAACTACTCCGGCGATCGGGAAAATGAGGAGGAATGAAAAAGAAATTGGAATTGATGTATCGAGGGCAGAACGAGGAAGAAGAAGGTGAGGAACGATCTCTTCTTAAAGGACATTGAAATCTGCCCGTTAAAACCTATAGTGCTTCTTCTCACCGTTGATTTGAAATCTAACGGTTTAGATCTATTTGGTGACGTTGCCCGGTTTTGCTGCCCGAGTAATCTGACATGGACGGTTTAGATCGCGTTAGTTATCTACGTGACCGTTTCAGAGCCGTTGGATCGTCAGACGTCATGCGTATGCTTTTTCTTTCTTTTTTTCTGGGATTTTCTTTAAATTTATTTTTAATGGAAAGAGGCAAATTGGTAATTTTGATGTCTGAACGGCCTGACGTGGACCCACACTGATTTTTTTTATTTTCTCGATACTTTCGCTTTCACTTTTGGCCAGGTCAGCGGATTTATGAACTCTGTACATTTGTTGGATTATTAATTCCTAATCTCATCACCAATTATAAAGTCATCACAATTTAATTGTATTGATACTTTGATAGATACATAAATTCGAAAGGTGAAATAATGGAGGCGAATAACTGATTTTTAATTGAGAATTAAGACTAGAACGACGGTGAAACTCGCCGGGATTGGAAAGGTAAGACAAGAAAACAAACGGGGAATTTTGTTTTCGTTAACCCGAGGGATTACCCAAACAAGGCTACATTTTAAGTAGCTCAAATGACGAAAATACCCCTTTAAGAATTTTTTACCAGTAAGGCTGAATCTGAACGGTTGGTGCCCTTTTCGAGTCTGAAAGAGGT